TTAAAGATTGCACGAAATGTTCCGTGCCATCTTCCAAACTTCCCACAGACATCTGAACCAACTCGACATGTTTCTCTGTCCTTGTTCTTCTATAAGACTCATAAGGTCAAAAGAAATTAAACATTAAAGAGAGTCTGTGACCTCTTTCAAAATGAAACCACTGTAATTATTTTCTTTGGCTAAACTATTCTGTCAAGTTTCAAAGAGGATTAACATCTGTGCAAGCTGCTGTTTCTCTAGAACCTATTTGGAGTTTTCTCATACAGTCGTTACGGGAAGAGGGGACAGGGCGCCCTACTGGAGGCATTTCTTGGGGTCAACTTAACGGTGCTTTTGACCTAACGCTGCAAGTCCGGTGGGCGGCCAAGGGGTCATCCCGACTCGCGCAGTCCTTTGTTTCTGACCACGGGGCGGTGAGCGAGCTTCGGGGAGGAGGAGCCCAGACTGCTCCCTTCCCAGGAGGCACCTCAGCAGGCCCCAAGTCACGTCTTCACAGCACAGAGCCCACAGGGGCGAGAGAAGGGGACCCCACCCTGGGTGACCTGCTCCGGAGCTGTGCGCCGTGTGTGGCGGGGGACACGCAGGAGCATCGAGACGCCCGGGTGCAGCAGAACCTCAGGGGGCTGCCTCTGGAGAGCCCACCCTGAATGGGGGCCCACTGCTCGGCCCTCGGGGCAGGCTGGTCCTGGCCAAGCTCACAAGAGGTGCCTTTGGGGGGTCCCTCCCCCACCCATGGTGTCCTCCCAGGGACCCAGCCTCAGAATGGCCTGCCCCACCCCCGGGTCTCCACGCCCTATAGGCTGCCCACCCAGCCCGAGGCCGTGCCCTCAGCCAGGGCCAGAAGCAGAAGAGACACCTGCCCAAGGGTGGGCATCTGCTCCACTGAAACCTGACAGCAACTTGATTGGAACAAGTGCCTGAGGACAGGAAGCATGGGGTCCCTGGGGGCCTTCTGCAGCCGCCTCCCACCATGGACCTGCACCATCAGGGGGCATCGCTCGGGGAGGCCCTCAGAACCCCCCTTCCTCCAAGGTCCACCTCTGCCCATGCCAACCCCGGGCCCAGCCGGCTCCCTGGTCCTTACCGGCCGGCCCCTGCATTAGTCTTGGGCCTGTGTCCAAAACTGTCTCAAGTAACAGACATTGAAAGCCACAGAGAGCCAGGTTGGGGGGGGGGGCATCTCTGGGGGCCTCGGGGACAATTCTGTAGGGTCTGGAAATGTATCCAGCACAGCTACTGGGGCCTCAAGAATGTCACCATCTTCTGGGGCGCTGGGAACCCCCATCAGAATGAGTCCTCCTTCCCTGTGCCATCAGGGCCTGGCTTCCGCCCCCGGGGCCCCTGTGGCTGCTGTGTGGGGTGAGTCCTGCCCTCCGCCTCTCCAGAGCTCTGAGCAGTGGGAGGCGGGTTCACACAGCCCCCACCCCATGCTTGCATACAGCAGGCGTTGAGTGGAGGCCTCTGCAGATGCGGCCCTGCTGCCCTAGGACCCCAGCGAGCTGGGCAGGACCCGCTCTGCTCTGTCTCCGGCCCCTCGCAGCCTTGCCTGACAGCCCAGATAAGCCGCTATGAATGGAATGTGACCTCCTCCTGGGATGTCAGCCCCCAGCCTTGCAAACAAATCACCTGGAAGACAAATGACCAGGCGCCTGCTGGACGGAACCAGCCCGTGGGTTACAGACAGCGGGCTGCACGGCCCCCCACATTCCTGTACATTCCTTCAGATCCCCACCTCAGTCCCCGTGCTGCCCGCCAACCCGCCAACCCACCATGTGGGATGACCGAGCCAGCGGAGCCTCGTGACCCCAGCTTCCCGGGCCGGCCTAGCCCCTGCTGACGGCCTGCTTGGTGGAAGCGCTGGGGCCAGGGCATCTTCCGGCAGCCTGCCTGCCGTGCAAGGCCTCTCCGTGTGGTCTTTGCCTAGAAATAAAAGCAAATTCACCCAAAGAACCACAAGACCTGAGGCCAAGACGAGCCCTCTCTGCATTCTTGGGCTTCCAGCGACTTAGGCAGCCACCCACGTCCTCCAGCCGCCTTTGTAACAGGACCCAGGGTCACCAAGCGTGACCCCGAGCCCGCCCTGGAGGACCCAGCCCCTCCTCTGGGCAGAAGCCCAGGGCGCGCCCCCTGGAATCCTCTCCCAGGCACCCAGGCAGGTGGCTGAGGTCATGGGGTGGCGGGGGGCTCTCATCCCACCACGGTAATGGGTTCATGCCACCTGCCCTGGAGGAGGGCCAAGTGATGAGAGCTAGGGAGGGACCTAATACCTGCTGGGAACTTCAGCTTGGACCCACCGTGGAGAGTCCTGGTCCATGTCAGGCCACAGCCAGGACCCCGGGGCCACAACCCTGCTCAGTCGACACGACGCCCCCGGTCCCCAGTGTGGAGCGATGGGCCCTTCTGCGGGACCAGCGAGGGTGGGCATCAGGGCGGGTCAGAGGCAGCAGCCCAGGGAGCCAGGCCCAGGGCTGGAAGCAGGAAGGGGTCACACAGCAGCCGTCACCCAGCTCACAAAGGAGCTGAGACAGCGGCCGAGAGATGCTGAGGAGGAGGAAACAGACACAGTGAGAGGAAGACACATCCAGCATCCATCTGGTGTAGAGAAGGACCACCGACTCGACTTGACGGCCATCAACGGTCACGGCACCGAAAGACTCATGGCCCGAGAGGCACGTGCTGCAGATCCATCTGTCTGTTGCCTGCTCCAGGGTGCGGATGCTCCGTCATCTCTGGGTCCTGGGTGCCTGCTCATAGCTCGCTCGTCTGTTCAGAACTTCAAACTGGAAGAAGATGCCTCCAGCCCCATTATGGGACCATGGAGAGGAGAAAAGAGGAGCTCTGGGAACTGGGCCTTCTCAGGATGCAGTTCTGACCAGTGGAGCCTGCACTGCTGCACACAGTAGGTGGACACACGAATGGACAAGTGAGCGCGTGGATGAACACAGGCCTGGGCATCGGGGCCAGCGTGCCGGAGAGTGCCCAGCTAACACGCTCTGCCCTCCTCTGGCGCACGCGCCTGCCTTCCTTGCAGCGACCGTGTTCCTACCGGCCCCTGGCCACCTCTGCTGAGCTCTGTGATGCTGAGTCAGAGAGAACGGCGTCTCTGCGTCCTCCCCTCCCTGTGCCCTGGCCTTCGGTCTTCGGAGAGGCCACGGCCTGGACACGATTCCACACGGGGCACAGAGGAGGACTCGTAGATACGGCCCGGGACCGCTGTCAAAGGAGGTCAGTCTCTAGTCCAGAGACGTCCCAGTTACATAAAAGATGTTTCAAAAGTTAAAGAACCTGCAATAGAATATTGTGCAGCCATAACCAGGAACGAGGCACCAACACACGACAATGTGGGTGAAGCCGGACAACGTGAGGCTCAGTGAGAGAAGCCAGACACAGAGGACAAACGCTGTGGGATTCCATTTGCATGAGCCCCGGAAAGGCACCTCCCCAGAAAGGAGGCAGACCGGTGCGGCCAGGCCCCGGAGGGTCTGCTCACGGGCATGGGGTTTCATGATGAGAACCTTCTGGAACTAGACAGTGTGATGGTTGTATAGCACTGTGAATGTTCTAAACGTCATCCAACTGTTCACTTTAAAGTGGCTAATTTTATCCCATGTGAATTCTACCCCAAAAATAAAGTTAAGGAATTCAACTGTTACCCAGCTGACAGAGGAGAAAGCATACGACACACACGGACACCAGCCACCTCGCGTCCCGGAGTCTCCAGAACTCCAGTCCCAGTCCCCGGCTGTGCTGGGTGAGTCACTGCCTGCACTGGACCATCGGCTCAGCCCATCTCGGGAGGCCTCACCGTCACACAGCACGTTTAAGGCGCAAGGCCTTGCTTGCTCCGAGAGCGCCCGTGCCCACACCCTGCACAGCGCAATGAGATGCGCCCTCAAAGGTGCTCATGGAGGGAGAGTAGGGGGCAGTCAGGAGGGCTGCACTGGGGTGGTGTGAGCACCTCCGATCGTCTGGTCCTCCGGCTCCCGGGACGATGCCAGGAAGCAGCCATCGCCACGGAGCAGCTGGAGCCACAAGAGGCCCCAGGGCAGTGAGTCACTGCGTGTTAGTCAGACCTGAGCTCAGTGCCCAGGTGCCAGCCCGCATTCCTGGGGCCTCAGCTCCTGGCCTCGCCTCCTCTCTGCTTGTTCCATGGGCCCCGCACACCCAGCCACGGGCCCAGCGCTCCCGAGCTGACTGACAACAGGTCAGGGTGAGCTGTGCTGGGCGACAGAAATCAGAATCCAGAGCCTGTGGGACTCAGGACGATGGCCAGCTGGGACCCCACCATCCAGCAATGGGGCTGACACAACCACCGCAAATCAAGAGGGCAAAAGGGACGTGGTCAGCAGTGGGTCACTTGGCCCGACCTCGAGCAGAGGCGCCGGCAGTGAAGCAGGCCTCCTGGGGCCCCCCACCCCCCCGGCCTCGGATGGCCGTGTCCCAGCACGCAGGCAAGCGAGTGAGGTCACCGCTGCAGTGCACGACGGGCAAGAGGGGGCCTGCCCAGGAGGGGCGGGGCCTGCTCAGGAGAGGCGGCGCCCGGCCCACGGGTTTGGCACCCTCACCAGGCAGCATCTCGGCCAGCGCCCAGGCGGGGTCTGGTGTCTGGGCGGCCACAGGAGGCAGGGCTGTCTGTGATCGAGGGGGAACCCACACCTGCCTCCTGGGGTCCATGCCCAGAAGTGAGTGGGGGCGAGGGGCAGGGAGGGGGCCAGGGCCTCTCCGGGAACATTGTGCACACGTGGGAAAGAGAGAGATGGCACAGGAGGGGACACAACACTTTGATGTAAAAGCTCTGGTGGGAGGGAGGCTGACAGGGAGGAAGCAGCAGAGTGATGAGCAGCAGCTCGGCCGGTCCAGCTCGGGGCCATCCCACGGTCACACCAAGTCCAGGCGTCTCGGTCGACGGGGCCCCTTATAGATGCTCCAAAGAAGGCTCAACACACACGCACGCAGTCATGGAAAGAGATTACCATGGCGTTAGGACAGTCTCTTCCTTCAGGACCCGCATCGGGGGTGTGACGCCCACGTGCCCTGGAGGATGTCAGCTCAGACCCCGGCACTCCCTCTGACATGCTCAGCCCTGATGCAGACCCTCGGACAGCTCCTTCCACACTGGGCCCGTGAGCGCGTCCACTGGGGTCCTCCCACCTCCCAGCCAGCGGCGGCTCTGGGACCACCAGGGAAGAAAGCGATGAACCCAGTGAGTCCACAGCCAAACCCTAAATCCAGGGACGCCCGAGTCATCAACAAAGGATGCTGCCTCCGGGTCCGGTGGGCGGACGGAGTCCAGCAAATGAAGGCAGGGATGCACCTGCACGGCGCACACCAGGAGCCAGGAGCCCCGCGGCTGCCTCAGACGCAGCCCCACTTCAGGCTCAGAGCTCAGCTCAAAACTTCCAAAATTCCAGCAGGGAAAACGCTGGGCCCTGTGCACAGTAGGTGCTCAGAAAAGGAGGACAAGACACAGGAGGAAGCCCAGCCCTCCCAGGCGAGCTCCCCACCTTCTCAAGATGACGATCTCCATCGTCAGGGACCCCACAGACTGCCAGGCGCAGACACTTCAGCTAGGACACTCCTGCCCTAAGGGCCTGGGGTGACCCCAGGCTTGAGCCCCCACACCCCCTTGCCGGCCACCATGGGCACTCAGGCTCCAAGGCTGGCCTCCCAGGTGGGGACAGAGGACATGCCACCACGTCCTCAAAGCCATGAAGCCTCAGTGCTCCTGTGCTTCTCCAGCAAGCACTTGTGGTTCACAGGGTGCAGCCACCACCCTCGCCCTTCCCGGGGCACCTGCAGGCTCCTCTGGGGTCCAGGCGGGTATAAACGGAAGCCACTCATGGTCCCCAGGCTGCTCTTTCTGATGTGGTCCCCAGGCCGGCCCCGCGCAGGCCTGCAGAGCCTGGCTCTCCCTGGTTTGCTTGGGCAGGAGGGGACCCCGAGCCCCCCGGGCCCTCGCACGCCCTCCAGAGCGGCCAGTGGGCACAAGGGGAAGCGTTCCTGCTCCCCAGTCTCAGGGATCACAGACGCCCCTCCGTGGTCCCTGTTCCCTGGCATCCCAGAGTCATCACAGCCTCAACCACGTGTGGACTGGCCCACAGCCCGGCCAGAAGCTCGCAGTCGGCCGCGGTTCCCTGCCTGTCCACTTGTGAGGGTCACTGCCCGTCGTATTCAGATGTCACACCATCCCCCGAGGCGGGGCTGCAGGAGGCTCAGCGAAGGCTTCAGAATGACTCGGTTAAAGACAAAGGGTTTAAAAACACGGATGTCAACTGGGATCTGGGCAAGGCGACCGCAGAAAGACAAGAATTTCAAGACGGACCCACTCAGCCTGGCCCGAGCCCTCTCGCGAGTGAAAGCAGTGACAAGAGCCGCGCGTGCCGCTCCAGTGGGGCTCGGGCAGAAGGACACGCGGAGCGCCGGCAGCCGGGCCACTGCGCACACGGGAGTTTGCCCGCACAGACGTGTATCTGCACTTTCCAGCTGATCAATGGGAGTCCTGACGGCCGAGGCTCAGGGCACCGTCTCCCCTCCCTCGCTTCCTCTCCCCGCCTCTTGCAATATTATTAGGGTTTAAACTCAAACAACTAAGTTCACATCCGGGTGCAGCCACTTCCTTCAGGGCCCGGGAAGAGCCCTCAGCCTCTGGATCTGTCCTGCAAAACCATGCAGCCTCCTGGGGAGCATGGGGGTCCCCACCAGCCTCCCCCCGGGGGGACCCCCACACCAAGCCCTCCAAGAGTTTCCTTCCTGGCACCCACGTCTGCAGCCCCAGGCCCTGCGCCTTCCCCCAGACAAGGAAGGGGGGGGCCTTCTGGCTTCAGGAACGGGAGCCCTGCAGGTGGCCCCTGGGCAGCCTGAGCGCCACCCATGCCAGCCCCATCCAGCACCCCCGGCCCCCGTGAGGCTTTACAGCAGGGAGGTGCTGAGTGAGCTGCGGGATCCTTATAAGAGGAAAGGAGGTTTAGGAAACGAGAAGTCAGAGCTGGGGCCGATCCCACACAGACGGGAGGCCCAGAGACAAAGATCCTGCACCACAGTTACCCAGAGTGACAGTGAAGCCCACAGCCGCACCGCAGCCCCCGGCGTCCGGAAAAATTTCAGGTTTGTTGTCCCTGCTTTTGTCAGCACAGGGCTGCTGACCGACTCAAAGGCACACAGGTTTGGAAGGCCCCCACGGCCGGCCCAGGCTCCTCCAGGGCTGTGGCTCCACCCCGTGGCCCTCAGGGTCGTCCTGTGAACTGAGAAGTGCCCTGCTGCCTCCTCCTTGAGGCCCCCTCCTGGCCCTGGGGTTTTCATGGGGCCTCAGGCTGCCCAGGAGCAGTGGCCTGAGAGCCTCCAGGGGCGCCCCTCACTGCCCAAAGCAACCGCAGCAAACGCCCACGAGGCAGGAAGGGGGAACGGACAGACAGCCACGGGCCTCAGTGGGGCCAGGGCTCAGACCGTGGGAGACTAGTGGGGTCCTGGAACCTTCAGAGCAGAGAGCTGCCTGGTGGGAGCGGCTTCCCGGGAGCTGTGGGCAGCGGACGGCGCCCGTCCTCCCAAACCGCAGGCCAGAACCTCAAGAATGTGTCCTCAAAGCCCCTGTGCTCTGAATTCAGGGCACGGTCCACACCTCAGAGTCAGTTTGAGAGGCCGGCCTCGCAGACGGGCCCACTCGTCACCATCATCCTCTCGAGGTCTCTCAGCCGGAGCAGACCAGAGGCCGCGCCCCTCACTCAAGGTGACGTTCTCCGCAGGGGACTCCAGGCCGGCACCAGGCAGCTGGGGCGGTCACCATCCTGCGGCTTCCCCCAGATAGTCGCCCAGGGTCCCACAGACAACACACAGCAGAGCTGGGCACCAGGTGTGTCCACCTGCAACCCGCCCACCTCCCCACCCCCTTCCCTGCCTTAGTGCAAGAGGGACCTCCCATCCTCTCTCGTGGTCCGAGCTCATCACCGACAGGTGGCACAGGACATGCTCAGGCTGTGCAGCCCGCCAGCAACAGCCAGGGCCCCATTGCACTGCAGGCCCTCGATAAACGTGGATTTGCTCTTCATCGGTGTGCAAATCCCTGTCTCCTCCCCAGGAAAGGGCCAGTCATCACTAGGGACACTGAGGCAGGCGCCAGGGCAGGAGGCAGCCCGCCAGGGTCCTTAAGCGAGACCCTCTCCCGACCCCACGGTGCCAGCGCCCAGCCTCAGTGACTGTCCAGGGCCCGGCAGTGGCTACCCAACCTCCCCCAGGCCTCGCTCAGTTTGCCGGCCTGACTTGGCTTCCCCGGCATGCAGACCCTGCGGAAAGCAGCTCTCCACTTGCCCACACCCAGGTACTGCTCACGAGGTTCCGCCTTAGATCCCAGATCAAAAAGCCGAGCAGGAGCTCCTGGTGGGGAGCTGGCCATGCCTGGCCACTGCCCGCACGGGCGAGGCTGCCGAGCCCTTGTCCCGAGGCCGCCCCAAACTGACCGGCGAGGGCTACACCTCAGGACCTGGAGCCAGTGCGAAGGCACCACCGGGGCCATCTTCCCGTAGCTGTGACAATACATCTGGGGTGAAGACAAAGTTATCCCTCTGAACATGGGAGGCAGGCGGCAGGCCTGATGGGTGGTTAACGTCTGACGGAACCCAGGAACCCGAGACGACTGGCTTGGCAGGAAGCCGGGGGCTGCTCGGCCACTCAGGGCGGGGGGAAGGTGCCTGCGAGCACCGACCCAGGCTGACCCTGCGGAGACGCGGGCTCAGGGAACCAGGCCGCCGGTCCTGAGGTCAGGTGACCACACCCACCCCGGCCTGTTTGTCCCACCTGGGAAACGCCCTGGGCGGCAGCTCCCGCATCCCCGTCTCTTCGAGTCACCTGGACACACCCTGCAGGGTGAAGGGGAGGTGACAGAAGCTCTCGAAGGCCCCAGGCCCAGCAGAGAGACAGCCCTGGGAGTGGTCGCTCTTCGTTCCCGGAGCTCAGCAACGTGACTTCCACGCTCGTCTGCGGATAAAGGAGCATCAGTGACAGCTGCCACACAGAACAACACCAGAAACCTCCTGGACCTTCTAGAAACTGCCCACCAAGTTAAAGAAGGGTCCCCCGCAGCACAGTCGTCTCCACCCGGGGACAACGCTGGCTCTCACATGGCCGGCGAGGGGAGAACCCACGAGGGTGCCCTGTGCCCTAAGACAGCCCCTCGAGCCCTTCCTGGTCCCACCTGGCCTCCTGCGCTCACGCATGCTGATGACCAGACCCACCACGGCTGCCAGCATTCCTGCAGACGCCTCTGCATCCCAAGTCCCTGCCCAGGCCCATCAACACTGTCCCGCCATGACCTCAGATAGGGGACCGACCGCCGATGCACCCTGACCTAATTCATACAAAATCCTCATTCAAAAGTCCCTCCACAGGCCCACTTGGGAGGCATTTATTGGGCCTCTGCTGTGTGCCCGGCACAACACTGGGTACCAGGGGGCCCCACCATGGTAGGAGGACGGCAGCCAGGGTACCAATGCCCAGGGCTCCAGGCGGGGGAAAGGTGGGTACCCGGAGCAGAGGGTGCAGGTGCTGGGTCTGGGGGCAGTTGGGTCCGCCAGGCAGGGAGGAAGTGGAGGGGAAAGTGCCCCCTCAAAGGGGGCCCCCAGGGAGGGGCCCGTGGCCTCTTCCCTCCAGGTCAGACTGGGGACCAGCCAAGGAAGCCCCTCCCTGTGTCCCCAGGATGCCGGGTGTGATGGAGGCAGGAGGGAGGGAGCCTGAGGGGAGAGCAGGGGGTGCCAGGGCCTCTGAGCCGACTCCTGGGGGCATCTGCACTCAAGTTAGACCTCAGGGTGAGCCTGTGAGTGTGTCTGTGTGAGTGTGAGCATGTCTGTGTGTCTGTGTGGTGGGCACATGTGCATGTGTGAGTATGCATGCATGGGTGGGCACATGGACATGTGTGAGCATGTCTATGAGTGTGCGTGTGTGTGGTGGGCACGTGGACATGTGTGAGCATGTGAGTGTGAGTGTGTTGGCTTGCACGTGGATGTGTGTGAGCGTGTCTGTGTGTCGTGGGCACATGTATGTGTGTGAGTGTGGTGAGTGTGCTTGTGTGGTGGGCACGTAGATGTGTGTAAGTGTGTGCACACAGACATGTGCGAGCATGTCTGAGTGTGCACATGTGGTGGGCACGTGGACATG